GTCATGCACCCCGAGTTAGATTTCAGCACTTTGTGCATTAAAACCCCAATGACTTCAAACTTTTAACCGTTCATAACTTTTTCCAAAAAAACCGCGACGCAGTCGAGGAAGGCGGTTCTGGAATTAGCTCATCAGGGCGTATGTTTTGATATGCAGTTCATTCCAATTCGCCCCCTTATGTTGGGATCTTTCCCTTGTTAGCATCACTTAGCAGTTGTCATCTTCCCTTAAACACCTAACCTATCAACAGCCACTTCTTGAACTTACATCACACTCACATTCCTCATTGAAGATGTTCCTCGAACGCTTGCGTGATGGAACATACCGTCTGGTATCCGGAATCAGAGAGACAAGGCCACGACAGTGGATTCCAATCCTACTACTGTTTACCTTGGCTGCTTATCTGCTTATGGGCTCCGCTTGCTTCTGGTTCTTCGAGCACGACAAACATGAGCAGAACGTCAGAAAATGGTACATGAATCTAGCAGTGAATAGGTATGCCTTATCAATCCCTCTTTTCTGCCTTGGTTCCTCTGCTTCACTCAAATGACGAATATTTGACCTATACACTTCATCTTATCCACATACATCCATAGCACATGTCGACGAAAGAAATTTTTTCCAAGCTTCCCCATATAGCTGGTTAACAGTCATAATTTCTGGTGGAAAAATCAATCCAAATGTACATATATCAAGTCAATTGCACACAATTACTCATTTATCCATGGAGAGATTTTCTCCAATAACAGAGTTATCTGAAGATTTTGATTTTCTTTAGCATTCAAAGAATACCTGGTATGTTTCTCCTTTCAAATATTATTTTGTCTCCTGCGCAAATGAATGGCACTAGGAACGGGGCTCGGCACAAGGTGGCTTTCCGAATGTGCAAAAAACGAAGTCCCCTCTGACTTTTGCAAACTTTTGGGAAGTCCCCTTTCACGCGAAATTGGAAATGGTGACCAAAAAAACTAACCTAACTAGTGTTTCTTCAAACCGCAAAACGATAGCTCCTTTGCTTTTTGTTCCAAAAACGATATGCAGCTTGCTTATAAGCCATCTGTGCCGAGCCCTGACTAAGAAATATTGTTGTGTAAAATTTGTGCGTAAGTGTGCCAAAGCTGCATCGAAAGTATTTTAATCTATCATGCAATACGAATTCACATAATTTTGTTTTATAGCCCATTTAAGAGAGCAAATCTAATCACAACTATTTGGTTACATTCTTGAGCGCGAGGGAGCATAATAAGATTACTCAGCATTAAATAAAGCTTTTTTACATGATAATGCTAATTGCTGTTCTACAACATGCAAAGGCAATCAAAGCTGATGATTCTGCTAGAGGTTCATCTATAACTTGCAGAGCTAAAGGATCATCATTCCAACTTACCATCCATGGCATAAAAAAATCGTAGACTCAGTTCTGTATTTCAGTTTTTAAACCGTTTTGCCTGTCATCAGATATTTGTTGGGCCTTTTGCTTGATTAAAACGTTGCGTGAAGACATTGAGATTGCTCTTACGTCGAGATTATTAAGTGTCGAGCTGTTTGATCATTTTTTTTCTTCAACTCCATTTCCTTTTAGAAAAAAATTGTTCGATTGGTTGTTTTGGTTCTGCTGTGGTTTGTCCTTATAATACATACATCTCACCAGCCATCGCCCAGGATTAGGGCAGTCAAAATCATCGAGGCCAAAGTGGAAGGGGAGTGGGCGTCATGAACATCAAATCCAGCTGACGAAAACCTAGTGCTCGAATGTTTTGCAGTGAGCGAGAGGTTTCCTCTCTGGGGAGCTTGACGCCTTGCTTATCGTGCCCAAGTCTCTCAATGCCCTTAACCCAGCACACATCATCTGGCTAACTCATCTCTCAACCACATCGACACCCCCCGCGTACTACGAGTACGAGATGCTAGATCGAAGTCATATTTGACCCCGCAAAAGACACCCTGGTGGCCCTCAAACGTCGCGTGCAAAGCGAACGGATGTAAAAAGCCCCATCGACCAGTGTTTGTTGACGCTCTCAGAAAGAAACGAAAAAGTCTTAGAAACAGCGACATTTTTAAAGGGGCCATGAGGAACCTTTGTAAGGAGGTTTGGGCACAGTCCTGCTACCATGTCAGAACATTGTTGCTTGGGTATCACAAACTAGTTTCAGCATTTCATTTTTTCGGTGACGAAGGGGAGGGGTGGGAGAGGGGGCGGGGAATGTATGTCAAAGCTAATACATTAGTATTATTGAACCGAAAGGCGAAGGCGAAATACTAAGCAGCTTTTGCAAGAAAGTGTTGTTTACAGGGCGCCTAAAATAACATGTATTGATTAATTGCTTCTTCAATCAAGTATTTGTGGGGTTTGAATCCCATAAACAAATGAGAGAGCACTGATGACATAATTACTAAATTACTGCGAAGCAGCAAATGTTGAAGCTTTAGCATACACCAGACTGTCCCAAAAAAATCGTGAACACTGTTTGATCGTTAATAACTCGCTTGCTTTAATGTTTTCGCCGATTTCTAATTGTAAGTACAATTCTGTAGAGTTCGCTTTAGCTTAGATTTTGGTATTTCGCGAAACTCCCGTCTCTCTTCGTGGTGTGATTCTGTAATCAGCAGCTCTGATTAGCTTAATATAAAAGTTTTTGGCTTGTTTGGTTTCTTTTCCGGGGCGAAATGCTACTCTTATGGCTTGGAGCCCTCTTCAAAATTCCTACCGTAATCCTTCAACACTAAACAGAAAGATAGAAGATTAGCTTCATAGTAAGTCTAAGTTAAGCCAGCTCTAAAGAACGACAAAACACACTGAAATTGAAGAGTTGTTAAGGATCAAACAGTGTAGTATTTCTAGTTAGTTTTGTAAGTCCTTAAAGTTCTTAAAAGTAAATCTGTTTGCTGTTATCTACACAAAAAATTGAAAAAAACAGTCGATTTAAGAGCACTAGATTGTTCATATTTTAATTACCTCCTAATATACAGGGTGTCCCAAAAAAATGTATCAAACGTTTGATCGTTAATATCTCTCTTCCCAAGAAGTCTTTTACCTTGCTTCAGGTACCGTTTTGTAGAGCTGGCTTCAACTTAGATTTGAATTATAAAAGGAATCACCCATCTCTCTTCATTACTGTAGGATTACGGTAGAAACTTGAAACATATGGTGTCAATGTGGAAAAAGCTGCCTTTTCAAAAATTTTCAAAAAAATGTGAAAACATGTGTAATAAGGTTTTTATGGACGCTGAGTTCAATACTCAACTATTCACAAGATTACGAAGCTTTCTAAACGTTTAATCGCATTTTTTAAGAACATTGGAAAAATGGCCGCTACGTCTTACCTGGCATAACTCTTCAATGAAGCATAATAACAAGTTGGAAACTTTGTAGTTATAATCAGCAACTCTAATTAGCCTAGTGTGAAAGTTTTCAGGCAGTTTTGTTTCTTTTCTAAGGCAAAATATGGCCTTTCATTGCTTAAAACCCTTTTTAAAGTTTCTACCGTAATCCTACAGTAATGAAGAGAGATGAGTGATTTGTTCTATAATGGAAATCTAAGTTGAAGCCAGCTCTACAAAACGGTACCTGAAGCAAGGTAAAAGACTTTTTGGGAAGAGAGATATTAACGATCAAACGTTCGATACACTTTTTTGGGACACCCTGTATAAATCAACCGAATTATTTCCAGGCGTCACTTTGCAAGATCGATTAGCTCGAGAATCTTCAACGATACCAGAAATTTATTGATCATCATCGATAGAGAACAAACTGAGAGAGTACAGGTAGAATTTTTTGATTGTTTACTCTAAATTAAGCTATAAAAAATAGTAAGACTCAGGCTTGCTCGTATTTCAGTTACCTAAAAAGATAAAAACGCACCTTCGAGTTGTTGCGTATACTATGAATGAAACAAATCCTCGATCTGTAAAGTGTTAGGTTTAATAATCGTTCTGTCCTTGTAAAAGTGTTTTCAACAGAGATCGCAAATGGCTCTTAGGCGAAAAATTCGCTTCAGAACTTTTGCAAACAAAGATTCATGTCACCCATCGGTAAGCTTTTCGCGCAAAGCGTTGTCTGCGATCCCCTGCAAAAATCCGCCCGTTGCGTCGAATGTGTCAAAATGTCGATTTTTTGGTTTTTTTCAGTGTTTGCGGTCAGCTATGCTGATGAGATTCTGAACTTTTCTCAAACGGTCTGCAATGCAGCTGCTCTCATTCCTCTTCAAATACTTGCTATTTGACCATATCCAACATGTGAGAATTGTGATCGAAAAACTACTTACTACTAACTAGTTACTAAAGCACTTAAGAGCATGCAACACATAATATTACTACACTACTAGCTACACTTTTGCGTCTCACTTCCAACATCTGCGGTTCAATGCTTATGGAAACTGTCAGTCGCTTTATTATTTTCATACAAAGTAACAGACCTAGAATCGTTAGGTATCGGGGAGGCATTTCGCAAGCCAGAATGATCAGAAAAATTATGCAAGCACTTTTTTAGTAAATGACCAAAACAACTATTTGAACTCCGTAAAAATTGAGTTACGCACGGCTGCTGCAATGGTCACTTAGAGCTTCTGGAAAACTTGCGGAAGAATTTGTTAACACCTTCACCTGAAATTCTCGATTTTGCCTTCACGTTGTATAGTCAGCATTCATATTATCTCGCTACTGAATGTTCGAACGTCTAATTTTTAACAAATCGTGCTTTGTTATCTATTGTCCTATTCTTCATGATTTTATAGCAGTTTCTTCGTCGTTTATGAATAGTCGGCAAAAATACTCATGTCAGTTTAAGACGTGCTGCCCAAGTTGGTGCTGAGTATTTGATACCTAGTATCAAACGTACCCTGTGACTTTTGCAGAGCTTTTTGTTGATTATTTTGATATCTATCGATCTTCTATGTGCAAAGTGCTTGACAAATACTATTTTTACTCCAAATTTACTCGCTAATGGCCGTAAGAAGTGGGATTCTTCAAGTTTCACTGACGCGCGGCAAGATTCAACGGATATGTGGCGAAGAACACTGATTGCCCGGAGAATAGTGGAGGAATTGGGTGCGAATGTAGTTTGTGTCGATCCGGGCAACAATCAACGCGCTCTGCCATTGCTTCAATGGCTCTGGCTCTGCTAATTTGTACCGATATCTGCTGTTCTTGCATGAATCCAAGGGCAAACGGCAAGCCAGCGAAGTGCAGCCCGCTTCCAGGGGCCGACAATACTGACGGTACTTTTTACAGCAATTGTTGGTGGAATCGCTGAAGAGATACGAGGATCGCTTGGATCTGAAGACTCCGGACAGAAGAGAGTGGACCTTCCTGAACTCCTTCAACTATGCCTATAGTCTACTCCTCACCTTGGGACACGGATATAAAATTCCAGAAACCACTGGAGGACAGGTTTGTAAGCATCTATTTGCGATCTTTTGAGACATGATGAGAATAACAATGGCGTCGAAGGAATTTTCAAGGGGGTTGGAGGTGCAATAAAATTTCTGATTAACAACGTGGCGTTCAGCCTTCGCAAAATATTTTGTGATGCTTTCCAAATTTGTGCCAGAACTCGGCACAGGTGGCTTATGTTTAGTCGACGTCTGCTTTCTTGTCGATTCGGATTTTTTGAATAAGGGTCGAAGGGGACTTTGCAAAATTTTACGAAAGTCAGAAGGACTTCGTTCCTTGCATTTTCGCAGCCACCTCATTCCGAGCCCTGTTTGTTGCGTTCCGAACCGAAAAAATCTTTTATGAATTTGTCGAATTTTTTATGTATTCTATTTATTAGTTGAACTTTTTGAAAGATTTCGAAAATTATTTTGGTTATTGACAAGTGACAATACGTCACCTACATGATATTAACTTAGTTAGAGAACTTTCAAAAATTTCCCATTCTCCGAATTCATAAGCATTTTGCTAATAATCTGGCACTGAAAAGTTCAATAAGATGGTGAATTACTGGTAATATTATTTGTCCACTTAAAGATTCATAAATTTGTGAACGTTAACTTTTAACACTGTTTTTTTGAGAAGTGCTCCGGAAGATTGTAGAGTTTTGCGATGCCGAGTCGCATGTGTACCTAATTTTTCTACAGTAAAAACATTTTTCTTCTTGCGACAACAATTGTTCATCCTTTGATAACCAAAAACCTTGATTTGGCCTTCACGCAGTTCATTTCCAGATATTTGCCCTCATATATTCCCTACTTGGAGTCCCCCTCTTCTTTGGTACCCTCGCCATCACTCTGTATCAGTGTGCCATTCCGCTGTTGACGGTAAGTATCACATTTATTCATTTTGAGTATTCAGCGTTGATTTTCGGTTTTTCTCGTATCCATCCATGGGAAACTTTTTTGATTCCGAAAAAGATTAGGGAATTACTAATAGAATGCCATTCAAGAACTTCACGTCCTTCGTTTTTTGTCGCTTTTCGTTTCAAACTCAAGTGATATTTCTGTTTCTGTATGTAATCTTTAGCGAAATGTCAGTGCCATTTTCACTTCCTCTTAAAGGCAGCGTCCAGGCAAATCTGGACCTATGGAGCTTTTACGTGGAAAGTACTTTTGGGGCCCTAACTAAGGCACTGCCCAAGCGGCAGCGCAGGTACTGCTCTAAAGGCTGAGATACTCCCCTCGAAACTGGACCCCGCGATCGTATTCGCATGAATTCATGGCAGTTTCGCGCCAGGAGCCACGCTTTGCGCTATGAATCCATGCGAAACACGGTCGCGGGGTCCAGTTTCGAGGGGAATATCTCAGCCATTAGAGCACTACCTGAGCTGCCGCCTGGGCAGAGCCTTAGTTAGGGCCCCAAAAGTACTTTCCACGTAAAAGCTCCATAGGTCCAGATTTGCCTGGACGCTGCCTTTAACATCATTATATCACTTAAGTGTGATAAAAGTCGCGCACTTCCGTCAGTTTTATTTGCTCAACATTTTTTTTTGCAGAGCAAAGTGTGTACACTCAATCGCCGTTTCTTCTGCCTCCAACTGATTCTGATAGTCTACATTGCATGGAGCATTTTGTTAGCTGTGTTCCTGTATTACCAAGTAAGAACATTATATTTTAATTGAACTGTGGGCGGCACTCAAAATCAAGGATTGAATTGGATGTGTAAAAAAATTGAAATTGTAAGATAAACTCGAAGCTATGCAATTGATTTGACTGCAATGATTTCTAACGATTGCTGTCACAATCTATTACAATCGGATGTAGGCGAAAGCTTCATGTGAAGCGCAGCGTCCTCTTTACATACAATGTTGGCATTTTGCCAGCTTGAGATTGGGGAAAATTAGGAGACGCAGGTATAGGTTCCTAGGACGGCATGGCGTACTCATTGCAATAGGCCCGAATCTTTGTGAGGCAAATGCCCGCCTTTTCAATGCCTAAATATTAGGAAATTACAGTAGATATCTTAGGTCTCAAACTGGGTTCTCCTATCATCATCATCGGCCTGTACAGTGCTTCTTACGTCCCTTGCTCATTCTAATTATCGACTTTATAGCTTTTTCTTTTTTCTTTTTTCTTTGACCCAGCAGCCTTTCTCGGCTATTCAAACTTGTACCAGCAATCGGCTGTATTTTTGAGAAGTATAAACAAGAAAAATTTACGAGAAACCCTACAGTTACTCCGTAGATACACTTTTAGCATTTTCCTCTGAACAGCAAAATCCTTTTACTGCGCATAGAATAAATAGCTGACTCCACAATTCTTCATAGTCAGTATATTCTAACTATTCACGTTTAGTATTGTACTGAGTTCTATACCTAAGTTGTACTTCAGATGCCACGTAATATAAGTGCACCAAGAAAATAACTTTTCAAGGCACTGTCCACCCTAAGCTGAGGGCCTTGAGCTTTTGTTAGTACATGATAGTAAGGCCTATTATCAAGCCAATGCCCACATCGCGCGTAAGATGTCGGAGGCGAGAAAATCGCTCCGGAATAGCGAACATGAGGACCCCAAGTCGGCACCGCCCCTCCCCTTCCATTCCGGAAAGCCGGCCTGCGGTTCTCCGGAACGGAGATTGCCGGGGTTTTCGCGGATTCTCTACTTCTATTCGGAATCAGAGACATGAGAAGACCCCGGAACGATCAAAACATGGAAGTCGAAAAGCTGGGTGGACGGGCTTTTAAGCCATTATTTGTTGTTTTACCAATTTGTGAGTGATCCTTTTATGTAAAATCTTTTTCCCGTAGAGTGAGATACTAACATTAACTAAAATCAGATTATGTTGGCAAGAAATGGCATGAAGAGATTGAACTGCGACCCATTTGTTGACTTCCAAATCTTGCGATAAATCGTCCTCGCAAGTCAGTGAGTGAGTGGGTTGCTGATAACCTCCTTGCCAAGTTACCACTAGTTCTATTTCTGGGAGCCGAAACCCTCGAGAGGGTGTCGCAATGGTGCACCTTCCAAATTCTTTGAAAAGCCCTGAATTGACAGTGTGTCAGCTAGCTTGCCGCGCGGAATTTTGGGCACGTGCGAGTCGGTACGAGTGTTAACTCAGACCTGGGTAATTAGACCTTTATTAAACTAACAAATAACAGTAATGCGAAAACGTACCAAACTAAATCCTACAACTGCCATAGGCCCCGGACTGACTTCACGCGATTTGATCGTCGATCTTCGCGACTCAATCGCCGACATTTCCATTCATTTTCATTTCACATTCAAAAATTTCGGGCTGGAAAAGTATCACAACCGAAATGCAAGTTGATCGGCATGGAATGATGTTGTAACAACTGTCTCGTCGCGATTCAGTCGCGACGATCAAATCGCGTGAAGTCTGTCCGGGGCCATAAGTGCAAACGCAAGATAACTAGCTGTTAAGGCGAAATGTGATCACTTAGTATTCGTGTAATGCGGAGAACCTATCGTGCAGTGAGTCGTGCAGAGGAAAGTCTAAAATAATAACAAAGCAAAGAAGGACAGTGGCCATCTCTAACCGCTAGCTATACATAGCAAATACATAAACCTACATCAGATACGTGAACATAATTCAAAGAGTGCCTATGGAATAGAGAGATAAAGCCTTTTCTCAAGAACACTTACACAACGCAATTGCTATCTGTGATCCCTCAGTGATCCTCATTGATTCTCAGCATTCCTGTGAAGATGCTGACCCATGAGTCAGTATAGACCCGTAGCATTCTTAATTTTTGACCCCAAGAGTTCCAAAGGTCTCATTCGCGAAAGCCCTTTGCAATAATTGCTCTGCTAGAAGCGTTACAGTTATCTGATGCCAAAGGGGAGCATGCGGAGTCTGTGAATCAGCACGGCGAAATAACGCTCCAAATTCTATTCCATCGCCACAGAAGTGGCCCAACTTACGCTAGATTGTTTGGTATTCGCATTATTTTGTGTCACAGATGGCGCTGCCGTCCTGACATAGACTCAAAACGCAAACTTTACAAATACCTCGAAATGTAAACAAACTGTTGATGATTTCTGTATCATCAACCATTGATGAACTCCATATTCTAGATAGCCTACGGAATACCCGTAGGCTAAATTGTGAGCTACTCACTCTTGAGTATCTAATCACTCAAGAGTGAGTGGTACCTGTGCGCCAGGAGTGTAGCCAATCGGCGGCACCTCCTTTCAAGCACCGACTCGTGTACATTGTACCTTTTACTCGGTTCAGCTCCGCCTTCCTTCCTATATAAGGAGCCTCCGAATGCATCAGAGGTTGCTCCCCGGTCCACACCGGGACACCTCACGCCTCTTCTCGAATAATCTACGCCCGTGCGAATAAACCTTATTCCACAACTCGTCTACCCCCTAATCACTTGGTACCCACCAAATTGGTGCATCGGCCAGTGATTTTCCTTGCATTTCTCGGCGAATCCTCCTAAGGACACGAGAAATCAAGGCCTAAGACCCGCGTGGCAGGCTCTACTATAGCCAATATTCGACTCTCGTGATTGCTGGTCCACCACTCTCACGATCAAGAGTCTTACTAAGTTGTCAGGTCCTATCCACAACTTAGTAGAGGTTTCTAGCTAACTGACTGGTTCACCACAGTTAGCGACAGACTCCTCGCACTCTCGGCTACTAGTTAGCCAATATTCGACTCTAGTGATTGTTGGTCCACCGCTTTCACTAATACGAGTCTTGCTAAGCTATCAGGTCATATCCATAGCTTAGCAGAGGTTTTCTAACTAACTGACTGGTTCACCACAGTTAGTACAAGAACTCCTCGAAACTTTTGGCTTTCCTAAAGTCAAAAAAGGACGCTGTGATTGTTGGTTCACCACTTTCACAAACAAGAGTCATCTTGCGAAGCTATCAGGTCATATCCATAGCCTAGCAAAGAGGTTTTTCTAGCTAACTGACTGGTCCACCACAGTTAGCAACAGAAATCTTCGATCTTTTTTGGCCTCAACCAGCCAAAAAGACTCTGTGATTGTTGGTTCACCACTTTCACAAACAAGAGTCATCTTGCGAAGCTATCAGGTCATATCCATAGCCTAGCAAAGAGGTTTTTCTAGCTAACTGACTGGTCCACCACAGTTAGCAACAGAAATCCTTGAACTTTTTTGGCCTCAACCAGCCAAAAAGACTCTGTGATTGTTGGTTCACCACTTTCACGAACAAGAGTCATCTTGCGAAGCTATCAGGTCATATCCATAGCCTAGCAAAGAGGTTTTTCTAGCTAACTGACTGGTCCACCACAGTTAGCAACAGAAATCCTTGAACTTTTTTGGCCTCAACCAGCCAAAAAGACTCTGTGATTGTTGGTTCACCACTTTCACGAACAAGAGTCATCTTGCGAAGCTATCAGGTCATATCCATAGCCTAGCAAAGAGGTTTTTCTAGCTAACTGACTGGTCCACCACAGTTAGCAACAGAAATCCTCGATCTTTTTTGGCCTCAACCAGCCAAAAAAGACTCTGTGATTGTTGGTTCACCACTTTCACGAACAAGAGTCATCTTGCGAAGCTATCAGGTCATATCCATAGCCTAGCAAAGAGGTTTTTCTAGCTAACTGACTGGTCCACCACAGTTAGCAACAGAAATCCTCGATCTTTTTTGGCCTCAACCAGCCAAAAAGACTCTGTGATTGTTGGTTCACCACTTTCACAAACAAGAGTCATCTTGCGAAGCTATCAGGTCATATCCATAGCTTAGCAAGGAGATTTTCTAGCTGACTGACTGGCCCATCCACAGTTAGCAAAGAAATCTCAACTTTCCAAGCTTATTCACGGTCGGTTCACCGATCTTGAGCTTTGGATCGTTACATCCACGGGACAGGTTCCAACACCTTACCGTCCAGTACAGCGTACAAGCCAACCAGGCGCGCTTGCTGACAGCTAGTAGACGCTCGGCACCCACTTGCCAGCTCACTAGAAAGCTTCCTTGCAACCAGTTAGGACAGCTATCGTATCGAGGCCAGCCCTGCTGTCGCCCTCAAGCCAAAGCGATCAACAAGGAGGATACACACTCCCAAATTGTAACGCTTGGAATTACCACACCAGCGCACGACTCTACCCAGTGCAGCAGAAAAGAAAATGGCATCGCTCCAGCTTTTCAAGATCAGGATTAACAACGCCTGCAAACTCGTGAAATCCCACGAGTCACAAATTGAAACCATTGATGTCCCCTTCACATTCCCCACACTGAAAGAAGAATGTGAACAGTACATAAAAGAGAAAACGGGACTGATAACCAATCTTCTTAACTCTCTACACAACGCAGTGAAGCTTCAAGAGACGCAAATCAACTCCGCGATTGAGTACATTAGCGCACGGAATGAGGAAAAAGAAAGAGACAAACTGATGATGGAGCTCAGCAAGCACCTAGAGATGGAGTCACTTGAACTGGAAGTGATTGTAGTGCAGTGGCGGACAAGGATAGAGTTCAGGCAGCATGAACTGAAAGAACAAGACGCACTACTGCACTGCGATGCTCCGAGCATACCGAGTCAACCAAGTAGTGATAATGGACAAGCTTGGATTCCAGAACGTAATGAAAGGCAGATCAAAATTCGGAAACCTCTGCTGGAAATCCCTACATTCTCAGGCAATTTCCGAGAATTTAATAGCTTCTGGACCGTTTTCGAATCTCTCATCCACAGTGACGAGGAGCTATCGGATACAGACAAATTCCTTTTTCTGAAGCAAGCACTGAAGGGGAAAGCAGCAGCCACTTTGAGCTGCATACCCGTCATCGGAGACAGATATCAGACAGCGATAGATATCTTGAAGAAACATTTCGATCGTTCTGCCAACATGGCAGATATACTTATAAATGAGATCGAAAAACTACCCAGGGCCTCAGATGATCCGAGAAGTTGCCGAGACACTTTCGAAGCAATCAACTCAAGGATCATTCACCTGGAGCAAACGGGAGCAAAGATGAACGCAGACAGACTTTGGCGTCGAATAATCTTTTCCAAATTTCCCGAATCCATCTGTACGACCGCCATCCAGAAAGAAGCGGTACAAGATGATCCATTTGATGTTAGCGAAATCCTGAACACCATCGACAGCATCATTTCACTGCGAGAGACAATCTTGCTAACAACGGAAACTCTCTTTCCAACCAACTACCATCCAAACAACCGAGAAAATGAAAGGATTACCAGATGCGATAGAGAAGAACACTTTTCGAAACCAAAACGTTTGTGTTTATGTGGACAACCACATTCTCCTCACACATGTCAGAGGTACACCACACCAGAAGCCCGACGACTTGAAGCAACAAACCAAAGAGTGTGTTGGAGATGTTTTGCAAGAAATCACAGCTCGAATGCTTGCACGAATATTGGAGTGTGCCCCAAATGCAAGGGATCACACCACGGATCCCTTTGCTTGTCAGAAGTGGGGCAACGAGGATTCTCGACGCAATCCCGAGATCCTGCACTTGATCAACATTCACCTGCTCCTTGGTTACCCCGTGACATCAACCACGATCGTCATGAGATGAGCAATACGCACGTCGTACAAAGTTTACGACAAGAAGCTCACAATCCAGACGTGCTTCCACTTGCACAGGACCAATGCATTCTTCAAATTGTTTCGGCACTGATATTCAACGAGTCAGAGTGGGACTACCAGCCAGTAACGATACTACTTGACTCCGGTGCACAACGAAGTTTCATCAAATCAGGACTTTCTGAAGAACTCAAGCTTCCAGTCCTTCGTACTACTTCAATTACTACATCTGGAATGGGCGAACAAGAAGAGCAGTTCTATTCATCCGAAGTGCGAATTACCTTGAAAAGTCTTCACAGCTCCGAGAAGCTCAAGAATTTGTCATTGCATACCAAGCAGAAGCTGACTACTAACATGCAGACGGCGAGTCTCATCAAATCAGATTTGCGATTCATTGATGACGAAAAGCTGATAATCGCTCAAGATACGCTCTCCTGCAAAAGCGTTTCACCCGACTTGATCATAGGACAAGATCTCCTAAACCTTGTCACTATCCGCAACGACAGAGTGCGCAAGCTTCCTTCAGGACTCATTCTGACCCCAACCATCTTCGGATTCGTTATATCAGGGACGAGCTGCACTATCACCACATCAAGATTCATCGGCACATTCGGTTGCATATCAGCGCTAAAGAAAACACTGAGGAACAACCGCCCAACTCCACAACACAACGAGAGATTGAAGAAACCCAAAGCGTACTCTCATTTCAACAGTGCGAACACTCGAACATGCAACAAGCCATTATTGCCAAAGCAAAATGAAGGAACAATCCAAAGGAGAACGATTCCGTCACGAGCGATGCTACAACCATGTTCTTCATCCAAAAGCCGACAATCCACCTTTACAAGGTCAACAGTCAATGCTTCCATCCTCGCTGAAGCTCGAGCAGACAGACAAAGTTGGTTGGCCACAATACGTTCCACGACGAACTCCAATGTCCGCCCCCGATATGAGATAGAATGGCTACCGCAGCGGTTCACAAACAATGAAGCCAAGATAAGGATGACGAACACACTGGAGAGAAGACATCATGAGTACATACATCGTGTAAGAACGCCGTCTATCAAGGATATGGTCGTCAACGAAGCAACTACCGATTCAAAGTGGAAGAGGAGAAAATGGCGAGGACGACAAGCAGCGCCAAACCGCCACCAGCTCCAGCGATCACTTCAGATGCTTTTTCCATTATAAATTTACGTTAATAATTGTACTCTTGTGTGTATGTTCAAGTTACTTGCGAATCCTCCTTCATAGCTCATTTTTCTGTATGCGTAGATATTAACTTATTCGCTAGTCAACTTCACATGTATCTGCCACTCTAATTAGGATCTTACCAGATCTCACTTTCCTCTCGCTCGCCCGGAGTGTTGATGATTTCTGTATCATCAACCATTGATGAACTCCATATTCTAGATAGCCTACGGAATACCCGTAGGCTAAATTGTGAGCTACTCACTCTTGAGTATCTAATCACTCAAGAGTGAGTGGTACCTGTGCGCCAGGAGTGTAGCCAATCGGCGGCACCTCCTTTCAAGCACCGACTCGTGTACATTGTACCTTTTACTCGGTTCAGCTCCGCCTTCCTTCCTATATAAGGAGCCTCCGAATGCATCAGAGGTTGCTCCCCGGTCCACACCGGGACACCTCACGCCTCTTCTCGAATAATCTACGCCCGTGCGAATAAACCTTATTCCACAACTCGTCTACCCCCTAATCACTTGGTACCCACCAAACAAACTGTTGCCGAAAGATTCGCATTTAAACAAGTTTCTGGAAAATTGGAACGATGTCGCAAGTTATGGAAATTGTGGAAAATGGCCTAGTATGTGCTCGAAATGCTTTAATGATAGTGTCTATATAATGGACAATGACAGTGCCCCGTTCCTTCATAAAGCAGGAAAGGCACCAAATATAGAACCGTTTTGTTTCGCTTGTATGAGAGCGTGGGTAAGTCCCAACTATTCGATTTAGCAACTACAAGTTGTACTGTGCTAAGATCGCAATATTAACTTGGATAGCTTACAATTAGAGAGTGGAATCATTGAGCTGAATGCACCCGACAAAATTTTGTCTGTCGAACATAGCGATAACCTTTTTTTCTCGAAAAATCGGTTTCATAGGAAGATAATACATGCGAATATAATTTTGAAGTATCGAAGAATATGTGCAGACCTAAAAAGTTTGCATCTTGGACATCAGTAATTATTTACATCGATTCTTACTTTATAACAAAGCATGACAGGAGTTTCAAACATTACCATATGTGCAGAACGATTAATTGTAATCACTTCAAGGTTGCGTTCTAAAACGTATAAGCATTTCAAAGCTATCTAGGATCGTCAATGGAATAGCTATAAGAGAGCGTCTTTCAATAAGTTCAGGCACCGAACCTAAAAAAGCGGGAAAAAATTCATTTTTCCGAGGTTACTGAAAAACGCTAGAGACATACCGTAGCACCTATACTTATTCTACAGTAAAGACAAGTATGCAAACTCTGAGCAGAAATGACCTGCACAATGAAATGGTACAGCAATAGCCTTCAGTTCTATGGACTGTTGATTGAGAAGAATTACAAGATCGTTGTTGGAGCCCGCATTCTTATGCCGGATTTCGACATCGATCTTGCTTCATCTTCATCTTTAACTTCCACTTTACTTCATTCAGCGCATGAGTTATTTCTTTTCAGGTGCACAAAGACTTTTGGGCGTCCGTTTTTACTGCATTCCTAAGTGGAATGACGATTCAGGTGGATACCACTTCTTATTTTCTGTGGTATATTTTTCTCAGAGACAAATTTCAGGTACCTTACGCTCACAGAATAGGATCAAGCTGCTTCCTTATGCTGCTCCTAGGCAGCACAGTATCAGCTGCTATCATCATCTTAGGCATCATCGTAGCTGTCGCAGCTTATTGCCCTCAGACCACAGGTATGCTTTTTAACAAAACGACAGACTAATTGTTTATTTCCTCCATGATCAAATTAAGCCGTACTCTAGGCAAAATTTGTCGCACATCATATTGCACTCAAATAATCGCGAAATTTAGCTTTATAGATTGACGAGAGTATTATCGTCAATTACAGAGCACGTGACGAAGATCAAATGTGAAAATTCAGCTTTTTTTAGCACTTAAAGATCTCTGATGTCAATCATGAGTGGCAATAATAAGAGAAGAATACAAAATGTACTCCGCTCAACCCATCAACAAATTGCTGCTCTTCTTGTTCCATAAGGTTACGCAACTGATTAGATAGCGATTTGGAACGCTGACTTCAGAGCAATTTTACAATGCATACTCTTCATTGTTGTAGGATTTCAGTTGGAACTTCCAGCTAATCGAACATAAGGCTTGCTATAAGATAGTTAGCATAGCTAATTCATAATAGCATCGAATAGTGTTCCTCTCCCTGTTGTCCAATGAGGACCAAAGAAAGTTGATCCCGAAATGACAAGGAAATTTTTGACAAAGAGTTGAAATCCCTTTTTGGAAAAAACGGAACTTTCGACAACCTTGACTTTACGTAGAAATCAGTCGAGATCATAGTTTCGATATTTTCACAAGCATTTTGATCGCTCGATTTCACTCAGAATTGCACTTCTACACATCTATTTCTAAGCCATTTACAGCCTACTCATAGAAAATGAATTCAATAGAGCCAATCTTTTCTAGAGCATTCTTCGTTTAGCAGAGTCTATACATGATATTTGAACCTTTTTTGCACTTCATGGTTGTTTGAAACATCAAATGACTTTATCTTTTCTATGCAATTCAGAATTGGCTGCGCGAAAACCCATTTTTTTCTTTCAAGGTTCAAAATGTTGCGGAAAGAAGCGAGGATATGATGTTATCGTTAAAGAACCCACGATTGATTCTAAAACTTCAATTTTTCGAAAATGACAATATGTGTGGACATCTCATATTTTGATGATTGACATTTAAAGCCACTCCTAGATTAGTTGGTTCGACAGAGAATCCAGGAAACGAAGGAAAGGATGGATTATGCCTGTAAATGCTTTAATTTTTTATCATAAAAAATCTAGGTTTGAGCTAGCATGCAACCCAAGTGAGCAAGTAGAAGCAAGTCCCTGCGGAAAATTTGGCTTCGCTTATAATCAAAAAAAAACTTCGAATACTTGGTAAGAAAAACCGAGGCAAGTCGTAAAACCTTCACAACTAATAAGCTTGAAAAGATAATATAGGAAGAAATAACGTAGAAAGAACGTAGAAAAATTTTCTAAACATTCGCATTTCCGATTTTGGAGCCAGAGAATCTTGTTGGTCTCTGACAACTTAGATAAAAAAGTTGAAAATTCAGCAAGCACTCAGAGCTGTCAAAAGTATATATGTGCACTTCACCAAATATTGCACGAAGATTGAAGAAAGACTGAAAAAAGCTAATCATCACCATATTTTGAAGGGTATATGGTGGGAAAACGTAAGCGATTTCTCCAGAGATCACCAATACAAAAGCCCAATTCTGAGCTATGGGAATCTTTAAAACTACCAGGCAAAGTGCTTTAGCTTACCAACTATTTGAGGAGACCATCTGCTAAGTTTGACGGCGTTCGGTGAAAAACTGATCAAAATATTTATGAAATCGCGATTAGTTGCATTTTCGCGGGTTTTTGACCTCCAACACTCATGTTTTGCATCTATTGGGTTGTTCGGAAATCAATGTCGCATAGCATCCTACCGCGATCGAGTGACCACAAAAAACATTGAATGGAGTATCATTCGATAGAGCAAGCTCTACAAGGTCTTTCACGAATCTTCCCGGAGGTCTTGCTCCACCTGAAGTTTGACTCCAAAATATAAAAAATTTTGGATATGCGAAAAATCGCATCTCCGTCCATAGATGTCTCAGTGACCTCCAATTATCACAGGCATGTATTCTCCACATTGGATATTCACCTGTGTTTGTGGTATTTTTCCATGGCTACAGTAGGACAAGCAAAAATAGGACAAAAGTGCGAGCATGTCGCGTTTTTCGGGTTTTCTGCAAACAATTTGATTTTTCTCGAAAATTAACGCTCGTCTAAAGCTGAAAATTTATGGTTATACTCCCAAAGATTCATACTACAGAACCACCGTTTGAGAGAAGCTCAGGATTGCTTTGGCAAAAATATGCCAAATTTCGTTTTCTCGATTTCCACCCATGAAAAGACCGGAAAAATGTGCATACAAGTGTCTAGTATAGTGAATCCATGTGTGAACAAGTTAGGGATTCCCAGGACGTTTCCAAACGGAGTACGATTTTTTTTCGTCTTTTTAGATCTTCAGTGCCTTATGAAATTTGGCTCCAAACTTCACGCAGATCAAACGTGGCGCGAAGGCTCGAGCTTCATTTTGTAGAGCTTGTTTTCAACTATCGGTTGGTATCCTATGTACTTATTTTCGTGCTCACCCTGGCGCGATATTGCATGATGAAACACAATGGGACACCATTCGATAGAGCAAAGCAAGCTTTACAAGATCAAGAGCGGAAATTTTCGTGCATTTGCTACAGTGATGTGCACTTATGTGGGAACGGCAAAACATCACTTTGGCAAATGCGCAAAATTTCCGTTCTTGATCCAACAGAGAAAAAGATACGGCAACGGCGTAATAGATGCCCTATGTGGATTGTGTTTGAGTGAGCAGGTTAGAATTTTTGTAGATTTTTATGAACTGAGTTACGATTTCTCTCATTTTCAGGCAGTTGAATCTTTTTGGTTTTTGGCTCGAAATCGTGGTGGATCAGAGCTATTGCTAAAGCAAGATAGCCATCTTGTAGAGCTTGCTTTGCTCTATCGAATGATGTCTTGCAACCTACTTAGAAATAGGAAGTGTATGACTACTGCGGTTGGAATTCAAAACCTGCAATAATTTCCGGACAACCTAATATAACAGCAATGGTCAGAAATTTGAGTATTTTAAAACGTTATTAAACACTCAAATGTGCTATTTGATGTACATCTAGCAAAAAAATCGCTCCTCTTGATACACACTCCTACATGACGCAAGATTGAAAAATGAAGCTTATTTGACCATTCATGTTTGTCTCATGTCGCATGTTAGCACTAGAACTATTTACACGGATAAGCAAACTTCCAAATTTCCAAGATATAATCTTTAGACATCTTTTTAACTGTCTCTCCCTCTTCCCCAACGGAAATGATCTCCACAGGAGCTCAAACAAAAACAACTTGAGCATGTTAATACAAAAAATATATGAATTCAGAGGTCTAGCACTGTTCTACAGCACATTTTGCAAAAACTGACCATTAGCTGTATATTTGTAGAAAAACCTTATTCTGCCCCATGCCTTCCTTAGTGTGTGAACGACATTTTCCCAGAAACTTTTTCGATGTTCTTTTTTGCATATGTTTTTTCGGGTTCATAGTGCAGTTTTTTTTATGCAGCTGTTGCTGCTTCACAATAGGTGTAAAAACTTCGAACATAATAAGACAAACAACGAAGAATCAGAATCAAGAATCAGTTGCATTTCTGAAACTGTATTTCTCCTTGTATTGTATTTTGTAATTGTTCCTTCTGAGCCGAAAGCGATTTTGTAAATGTCTACTCGGATCTAAGAACAAAATCACCTATTGCTTAGGAATAAGGTTAAGACCCAAATTTGTATTTTATGAGCAACATTAGAATGAAACCCATACAGGGTATTCCAAAAGTAAATACATACTTTTCAATCGGTAATGACTCTCTTCCCATAAAGTCTTTTGCTCAGCTTCAAGCACCATTCACTGGAGCACGCTTCAGATTAGATTTGAAAAATATAGAATAATCACTCTCTTCTCATTTATTGTATTATTATTATGATAAGAACTTCAAACAGGGTTTTGAGCCATTAATGGCTACATTTTGCTCCAGAGTGGACACTCAACGAGCCGAAAACTTTATCTATAGGCTAAATTGAGTTGCTTATTATGAATATGAAATTCGCACTTACCGTAAAACTTTTTATAAGTTGTCAAATAAGCCGCAATAACGTTTTATCAGTATTTTTCAAAAATGTGATAAAAACCATTTAGAACGGTTGAAAAACTTGTAAAAAGTTGCTTAATGAAATCAGCATGTTTGAAAACACCTCTGCACAACTTTTATAACTTTTCAAAACCTTTTTTTTTGAAATGGCCTATTTCATGAACGCTAATCGCTTTACCTTCATGATGGAAGAAAATAATCCTGCAATTTCTGTATCACTGTATGCTAAACTAGCACTATAATTTTGGCCAGTTGTGTATCAAAAAGGTTCCGCCAGGTAAAATAACAACAATTTGTTGCACAAGCTTAGCACCTCACAACACCAAATTCAGAGGTCAGTTTCAATGATTACTCTCCCTAATTCATCTCTTCTTTCTCTGGATTAACAGGCAGATGTTCCCTCATACCGTAATTATCCCCGATTAGGGCTGAAGATTAGGACTTGTAAGAGAACGCAAAGACGCAAAGAGAAAGAAGGAGTCCCAGGAAATTCTGACTTGGCGATGTATCAAAACAAACTAAGAATTTGCAAAAGGAAGAATAATCTTGACTTAATAGGACGTTAGGCCGCATAATAAGTGAAAGAAAGAGTTTCGTCACTTTCGAAAATTTCAAAGTTGGGATCAAGTTTGATTAGAAGTCGAACAATTCAATATTAGGTTGGCTAATAAATAATTTGTTTTGACATGCAACTTCGAAGCTACATAAAAACTCAGAATCTGTTCTTTAGCTGTGGTTCTTTGTGAGCCATTAGCTTCGAAATTCTGCTATCACATACTCATGATACAGACTTCTTGGACGTGACCCAAGACAGCATGACCACATATGTCTAGCCTTCCAAAAAACCACGGCCGGTAGTAATCTGGTCGAAACTCCGAGTTTGAAGCTCCGCGTTAACTCAGAGATAACTCTGAGTTCCGTTTTTGAAACTCTGAGTTACGCTTAT